GGACAATACTGAATGTGTAGACAGTCAGGTTTTCTACTTGTTTTGCATTCACCAGAATTCTTTAAGAATTTTACTAGCCAGAAAGTTTTCAACGGTAAAATTTCCCTTGTAAGCTAAGCCTTTTCAAATAATGCTATATATTTGCCAAAAATATTAACCATTTCTCTTTATGTAATGAGATAAAGTACACCTGCCTTAAACTGGCATTCAAATCATTGTACCCTCTGTCCTCAGTCTAAATGCCTGTTTTTATACTTGACATCGTGCTGCTCAAATTCATCTACTACATCATAATAATCTATTCACTGTCCCTTGAAAATATTCAATTTTTCTCATCTCTGTGCCTTTTCTAATGCCATTTCCTCTCCTAAGATGTTTTCCCTTCTCTTTGCTTCATTCAAAGTTGCAGAGACTCCATAATGCCTTGTTTAAATTCACTACCCCAACAGTGAACTTCTGAGCTCCTGCAGTTTTTAATGTCTGGGACTCTCATTTGGTCCTTGCCACTTGCTGCCGTATATGGTTTATCTTTGTGTAAATGGGTATTTTCTTTTCTAAGATTTTTATAATCACTTTTCTACTCACAAGCATGACTGATTTCTTTTTTTTTTTTTTTTAATTCTACCTTCCTCCCACCAGAAGTTGGAAGAGTGTCTTGAATTCAGTAGATCCTGAACAAATCTTTATAGCTTTAAAATTTGGGCTTCAGACAAAATGAGTGGTAAGAGAGGAAGTTAATTTGAATATTTTTAACAATTATTAAGTTTGGCTTTCACAAACATTTTATCATGCGATTTTACACAACAGCTCTAAGTGATGTGTAATGTTATATCAACTTTACATATCAGGAAGGTGAAGCTCAGAGACCAAATGCATGCTAATATTCTCACAATCCACTGTCTCATAACCTACTTGATAATGTGAAAAAAAGGAGGATCTTTCAACCCTGTTCACCTCTAGATTTCCAAACACTCAGCCTATAAGTAATTTCTTTGCAATCATTTTGCAATTACTAATCTTTAAAGCAAACTAAGGTAATCATATTGGTGATGTTTCCCCTGAATTCCAAGCTATGTATTTATGATGTCAGAAAGTCCATGGATTTGGTGCATTCTGACATATCTGTCATGCAGAAGTAGTTTAAAGCTGGTTTGCTCCTCAGGAAATTTGGAAGAAGTGTTAATGCTAAACAGCAGGGAAGTATGAGAAAAATTTCCTGTCCCAACAGGGGATATAAGACAGATACACATATACACTTAGCTTTAGTAATGATTTAGATGTCTGTTTTCCAAAATTCATTCCAAAGAACTTCCACTGGATATTATTAGATACTCTATTTCTTCCCTTTCTTCCATTGTTTTATTGTGTATGAATGGTTGGGCTATTCTGTGAACAAATCTGTATGGGAAATACTGTTTTAAGCAAAGTTTCTTTAGTATGTCTTTAAATATGCTAAGACACATCTTCATCACAATTCCCCAGGGATGGATATAAGCTAGAGTACTTCCCAACAGAATTTAGTCACAGAATTTTTCCCCACAACATTTTAAAAGACTGGAAACTCATGGAACAACCTTAGGAAAACACTCTTAAGAGTATGATCTGAGGTGGATGTTTGACCTATTAGTTAAGACATTGGTTAAGGCATCTGTGTCCTACATTGGAGATTTTGACACATGGCTCCAGCACCAAATTTCAGCTCACTGCTAATACAAACCTAGGGAGGCAACAGTGGCGGCTCCCTAGGGTTCCTGCCACCCATGTGGGAAATCTTGATTGTGTTCCCAGCTCCCAGCTGCCAGTCTGAGTCCAACCTAGCCCTAGCCACTTGCAGGCATTTGGGAGAGTGAACTGGTGGGTTGGAGTTCTCTGTTTCTGACTTTCAAATAAATAAATAAGAATTGAAGATAAAATTATGCTCACGTTTAATACATTTCTTGTGGGTGTTTAAATGAAGTACGATCTATGAGATAATGCCTAAAATTAAGGACACTGTTAACAATGGATCCTCCCCATAATATGTGAGAGGGGTTGGATGGTGTGACCATGGGTATAATATATGAAGCATTTCTAATTTATATCTTAGAATTTCACATTTTATCCTTCTTCATGAAGTATTCTTCCATTTGGTTAACCTAATTGTGAATGAGACTACTCAAATGTATGTTTACTATATGCAGTGAATATTTATTATGAGCATTTATATGTATTATATAAATTACACATATTATTATAGACCATCTTTTATTCTTCTTTGTACAACACCTACTTTATTTGGGGGGTTACCTTCACTTATGCCTGTGTGGTTATGGTGGGCCTGCCAAATACATGACCAACAGGCTGGGCAAGTGGCACTGAACAGGCAAATTATATTCACATTCCCCTAGCCAGTGATTACTCTAGCAGGGATCATGTGATTCATGCTAGGCCAGTTGAAATCCTTCCCCAAGTACTTTAGATTTAGACCTGAAGAAGAGATCTTCTATGCCATGTTCTATAAGTTGGAAGGAGACCTCTCAGGAGCTATATATCAACAGATAAAACTCACAATGATAGAGACAAAAGCTGTTCGGAGACCACTAGGAATGAAAAAAAGAAGGAAAAAAAAAAACAAAAACAAAAACAAAAGATCCTGGCTGCCTCTGGTCACATCTGAAGACTACGTCACCTTTGACTTTGCTGTTACAGCAGCCAGTGCACCCTTTTTTTCTAGTTAGCTAGTTTAAATTGAGTTTCTGGATCAAATGATAAAAACAAAGCTAGTCACTACTACAATGACAGCCAGTGTGCCAGAAAACTCAATTCTCTTATGGAATTGGTAGGTGTCTGGTTGGTGAGGGTCAATTTGAGCGACAAAAGATTGTGTACTTAAATTTTGGAAGCACTATTGTTAAGACAAGACCTTGAGAAACAAATAAAATCCTGCACCCTAACTTTTAGGGGACATAATTGAGGCATAAAACTGAAGTGACATCCTTTAAAATGTAGCACACCACGACTGTTGTGAGGTAGATTATGTCCTCAGAGACAATGTTGGACTTAGAGGGTAAAAAATGTGGTTTTGTCCCAGACTTGCCTTTTCCTTAGGCAAGTTCTTAACCTCACTAAATCTGAATTCTCTTACATGGAAAATCTGGCTAATAGTATATATGCTACATACCTCAGATGATGATATCTGTAAAAGCACTTGGCAAATTCCTCGACACTATTCAAGAGACATTCTAAAAAATTATACTCCATCATCATAAATATGCTTTATTTTTCCTATTTTGTAAAATGAAGGTTTTATAACTCATTTTAGGAGCAGTTACTCCTTTATCCATATACAGTAATGACCTTATATTTTGCAATAACTGTTTCATCTTATTCTCAAATAGGAAACAGTAGCTCACTGCTCTAATATCCATAGGGCATGTTTAGCTCTAGATGCACATTTTGGGATGGTAATATAAACATGCTACTACTAATAGAACCTGTACAATTTTTCTGATCCATATTCCTGAGGGCAGGGTCAGTTAGAACTCCGTTTTCTCAGCAACTGTAGCACACTGATTGCGATGTAATTCTTCACATGAAAAAATTGTTTTTATTGAATATTTGCTACTATAAAATCAATGTGATAATTCTCCTTACAATATTATCAAAAGAGTATGTATACAAGCTGCAAACCTAAATCCCTGCCAAACACTTGTGTTCATATATCTCAAATGATATAATAAAAATTTTAGGATGTGTGTGTGTATATGTGTGTATGTGTGTGCATATGTGGAGAAGAAGTACATTTCGCTGGTTCCAAAATCAATTGTATACTCTAAGGTAGCTTATTCCTCCTTACTCCACCAGCTTAAGAGTTGACCTTTTGACTCGCTTGGATGAATGAGATTGGAGCAGAAATGAGATATGCCGTTATTAAGCAGAACATTTGAAAATCGTCAAGTGATTCTGCCAACTGTCTTTTCCCCTCTTCGTTGATACTAACAATGTTCCAGACTACAGAAGCTCCTTCAGCCTGGGTCCCAGAATGGAGAGCCTAGGCCAAGACTGAAAGTGTGGTATGAGTGAGAAATACATCTTCACTGAGTGACCCTCCACAACTTGAGGTGTTTGGTTCCTGCAGCACGACTTGGCTTAACCTGATTGGCAGCATAAGTGATGATAGGTTAAATACATTGATCTACATTATAATAATGATATTCCCTTCTTAGTACAGATGGAGAAACTGAGGTATAGGAAAGAATGTCACTCGAGAGAAACGTAAAGGAACAATTATGAAGGAAACAAAATCTTTGTCAGAAATTTATTGTTGATCCTTGTATTCTACAATGTTTTCAAAAATATAAGATTTGAGGATGCTTAATGATGCCAAAGGTATCCCAAGCCCCTGCTGATTTGAGAATCCTATTGCTAATTCATAGACATTCTTTAAAGTGAAAATAAATCATAATCACGCTATGGCATCATTGACTTTTATTGTATTTTACCAAGCAGATTATATTCTTAGAATTGTATCTACAAATCACATTGAATCTGTTAAAACTAACCAAAAACAAAAATAAACTAAAAAAAGAATTACTGAAATTGCCCTTGGGGTTCTCACACCATAAGTTTCTTCCACTGTACCATCGTGCCTCTATTTTGACAAATATAATGTTCACTGTCATTTGGCCATCAAGAATTTCCTCCAAACCCTTACTCACCAAACAGCATGTAGGTTGTAATGGACATTAGATTTAAAATGCGATCTGAATACTTTTCAATTTCACATACAAATCTATTCAATGCATATTTGATCACACTGTCATCTCTGTGTCTCTTACTTAAAAACAAAGGATAAATTTGCTTTTGTGTATAATTTATATAGAAGAAAATTGACTTTAAATATAAAGTACAATGTTTATTTCAAGTGTTCCTTAAATTATGTATCTGTAAAAAAATCTTCAAACCAAACAATGCAGAATATGTGAAAGAATTTCCAATATAATCTTTCTCTTTCTTTCAAGTAACATGATATCAGCTCACTACATACCATGCCTGGATTATAGTACCAGAAGAAGAAGAGAGAAAAAAAAGAACCATGGACATGGAATCGTGAAAGGTAAAGAAACACCGACTCTCCAAGCTCCCTTGCTGTATTTATGTCTTAAGAATTGTATCTTTAGTTTCAAATTAAAAATGAGTTGTCAGCTTCCCTTAATAATTAATGTTGAAATGAACAACTGTTTTAAGTACAACACATTCCATTTAATGTTAAACAGTGTTATATTTACTGCAATTCCACCTTTCATCCTAATGTCAGCCTTTAAATCTTTAATGCTTTAATCACACTCCTTTTTCTGATATCCCTTGTGAGTTCCTCAAACCATTGCCCACTCCTTCGTGATAAGGTGGACATTTTTTGCTGCAAGGGTTAGTCAGCAGCAATTGTTAATTATTAAGGAAAACAAAATGCAGCTGCTGGAAAATTGTGTTTGTTCCCAGCAGGGCATGTTACCTTTAATCTCTGCTGACACTCAGGCAAGTGAAGTCATAAAAGGGAGATAATGCATTTCAAGAACATGGCCCCATAGAAAATTAAAGAATTTCCTATAAAATTAATGACCCTAATTACCAGATGATGCCTGCATTTGCCTTTCAGGAAGTTATCCACCTTTCTGATAGAGAGCCTGGAAGAGGGGAAGCAACAGCGTGGAGCCCTAAGGAGCTGCCTTACTGCAGGCTGCGTGGAGTCAGAAGCAGCAGAAAGTCAAACCATGTTCCGCAGGAGCTTCATTCCTCCTGGAAAGCCAGGAGAAGAGAAACGAGCTATCGTTTGTTAAGAAGGGACTATGCATAAGACAATGTTTGGGGTTTGGGCCACTGCTTCACTATGCGAGCCTTACTTTGCTTATGTTAGACAAAGGCTATTTAAAGGGTTGACTTCAGATATTTTAGAGTTCTTAAAAAAATCCTTCATTAAATATTGTCACATAGAATTGGACCTCCATATCTACGGGTTCCTCATTCATGAATTTAACCAGCCATAGATAGAAAATGACTATTTTTTTTAAATTGTGTTGTTCTAAACATGTCAAAGTTTTTTGGTGTCATTATTCCCTAAGCAATATACTATAATAACTTTTTATATAGTATTTATTTTGTATTCTACATAATAAGTAATCTAGACATGATATAAAATATATGGGGAGGGCTGGTGCTGCAGCTCACTTGGTTAATCCTCCGCGTGCAGTGCTGGCATCCCATATGGGCACTGGGTTCTAGTCCCCGTTGCTCCTCTTCCAGTCCAGCTCTCTGCTGTGGCCCGGGAAGGGAGTGGAGGATGGCCCAAGTGTTTGGGTCCCTGCACCTGTGTGGGAGACCAGAAGGAAGCACCTTGCTCCTGGCTTTGGATTGGAGTAGCTCCTGCCGTGGCGGCCATTTGGGGGGTGAACCAACGGAAGGAAGACCTTTCTCTGTCTCTCTCTCTCACTGTCTAACTCTGCCTGTCAAAAATAAAATAAAATAAAATGAAATAAAATAATAAAATAAAATAAAAGGGAGGATGTGTATAGGTTAAGCACAAACACTACACCACATTATGCAAGCATTTTTAGATTTGGTTATTAGCAGAAGTCCTAGAACCAAATCCTCCATGGATAGAGTGACAATGGTTGTCATTTAACCACTACTGTGATTCTAAGAATTAGATATATTATCACCATTATAATTATCTTGCAGTGTAAACAGCTAGTACGTGGAGGACATGAAATGTGCATTTGGTTATGTTTGGCTACAAAAAATAAAAAAAAAAGCTGATCTAAGATTATGTCTTCCATGTGGAAAAGGGCTCATCCTCCTGCAGCAAATGAATAATAGGTTAGTGAAGATTCACCACCTTGCTTCAAGATTTTTAAATTTTGTAAATTTTGTCTCTAAGTTAGTGTTTATGGACATTCAAGTGGGAAAGATGGTGTATGGCAATTTTAAGAAGGGAGAGCCTCAAGGAATAGTCCCTCAAGAAAGCATGAATTTGGGGAGCAGGCAGTTAGCATAGCAGTTCAAAGGCCTGTATCTGATGTCGGAGTTTGTGGGTTCAATTCCTGGCTCTAGCTTCCTGCTAATGCAGATGCTAGGAGGCTGCAGTAATATCATAAATAACAACTCCTGCCACTCACGTGGGAAGCCTGGATTGTGTTCCTGGCTCTTGGCATCCCTGGCTCCTGGCTCCAGCCTAGCTCCAATCTGATTCACTGTGGAAATTTGGGGACTGATCCAAAAGGCGGGATCTCTCTTTCTGTCTGCCTCTCAGGAAAAAAGAAATTTTAAAGACTAAATTTTCACATTGTTAAATGCCAATTTTGTATTACTTGAAATATGCAATATCATTCAAGAGTTAAAAAAAAAGCCATAATTATCCTTCAAATGAATCTAGAGGAGTAAGACTGGATAAAGGCAATTGTACACATTCTGAAAATATCTTGAAAAGTTTTTAGGGTAAATGGATCTCCATATAGCTTCTGGGGAGTAGGAAATCCTATTTGGCCAGATACCTTGGGATCCTGCAATTGCAAGGAATCCCCAGAATGGTCCTAATGCAACAGAAGTTCTAAGCACTGTTGGTTTATAAAGCACTTTGAAAATCTCACCGATCCTATGGGTCGTCTGCTGAGGAAAAAAAATGCATATACATCCTTAGGTTAAGAATTTCATATGGATTTTGCTTTTGACTCAGTAATTTTAAGAGTTTAAAGTCTAAAGTGGGGCCAGCGCTGTGGCACAGTGGGTTAAAGCCCTGGCCTGAAGTGCCTGCATCCCATATTGGCTCTGGTTCTAGTCTGGGCTGCTCCTCTTCTGATCCAGCTCTCTGCCAAGGCCTGGGAAAGCAGTGAAAGATGGCTCAAGTCCTTGGGCCCCTGCACCTGTGTGGGAGACCCGGAAGAAGCACCTGGCTCCTGGCTTCGGATCGGCACAGCTCCAACCATTGTGGCCATCTGGGGAATGAACCAGTGGATGGAAGACCTCTCTCTCTGCCTCTACCTCTCTCTGTAACTCTGTCTTTCAAATAAATAAAATAAATCTTTTTTGAAAAAATAAAGTTTAAGTCAAATTCTTTGAAACCTAAATCCAAGACTGCCGTTAAGTTAGAGCAAGACGTTTCACACCATTCTCAGCACCACGTGGCTCCCCCTAGGATGACAGTTAGCCCTGGTGTACTGAGTAGGCCCTGCTTGCTGCTGCGTGGTAACCATGTGGCTAGGGATACATGCGCAGTATACATTCCGCACTGGTGAAGTGGCGCTGACTGCCCTGCAATATCTGACCCATACTATTAGTTAGGACTCCTTAGAAGCCGTGTCTTTTCAGCTCTTCATAAGTGCTGGTCAGCGGTGTTACTACTGACATAACACACAGACAATAAATCTTATAATTAATGTTTTATTTCTATGAGACTAAGCATATTCATATATGAAAACATTTTTATAAATGATAAGGCATTATCTTCATTGTATAGTTCAAGAGAAAGATGAAGAAAATACAAAAAAATTAGCATTTTTCATTATTTTGGGGAAGCTCTATACCACTCTTTACTAATAACTCTGCTTTATACTTAAGGAAATACATATGATGAATGTCTAAGAAAAAAATTTCTCCCTAATATCCTAAAATTGTTTAACCACACTTCTCCATGTGGCAACGATTACATACATTGCTAAGGCATGAAACTTAGGCAGAATTTTTTTAAATGAAGATATTCCTTACTGCCTTTAGGCTGTTGTGTCAATAAAAGAAAACTGTGTTCAGCAGGTACACTTTCTCAGCTTAGGAGAATGCTTCGTGATGATCAGACCTAGGCCACATGACAAGGCAAACCTTCATTGTTGATGGCATGATCAGATTCAAACACACCTGGGTTCAAATCGCATTTCTGCCACTTACTAAGGGTTTCATCTTGGACAATTCACTTAGTGTCTCAGAGCCCTGTTTTTGCTTCATTGCTAGAAGGAAAAGCATTTGTCATAGTCTGTTGTGTAGATTAAATGAGAGATGTGGGTTAAATGCTTAACATGAGTCTGGTACATCATAAGCCATTTGTGTATGTTATCATTAGTTCTATCATTTATCATGTATTGATTACATACCTCTTATGAGTTCCTTTACTACTGAAGGAAATTGAAATTCCAAGAGAGTTAAAATAACCCTTGATGACAGGTCTGTCTTTCAGGAGATGTAATCCCTTTTTCTTGAGCTTTATCCCTTTTGCTCTGTTTCTACTCTTACCATGCATTTCCCTTCTCATTTATCCAAACACAGCAGAGCTTCTGCTCAGCATTAGGGGAAAAAGAGATGAAGAAAGAAAAAATAAAAACCTGTCCTGCTGACCTTCATCAGAAAACAGCATTGTCTACCTGGCATGAGGCATGACCAAGGTCCAGTGAAGGAACAACGTGGAGGCAATTACCTTAGCTGGGACGGGATAAGAGAGGGAGTTCAACACAGGAAGCAAGGCATCAGGTACCTGGCACCCTGAAAGAATGTGATGAGGCATAATAAACCTCCAGGATTTGGACTTCACCTTGAGACACGAAGTAGGGAGGCAGAAGGTATGAGGGGAAGGAAAGAGTAGAAGATAACTCCTGAGGGTGAAACCCGCGCAACAAGACTGAGAAGTCAGGATCTGAACTAGAGATGCACATGAAAAAACTTTGAGGGAAAGAGAAGAGAAAGACTTCAGTTTAGAACACTATGAGCTGGAGGTTTGCTATGATGCTGAGCGGTACTTGCTGTTGCTTTTTTTGTTTGTCCCTCTGTCTAAAAAGGAAGTTTGAAGTGTGAAGACCTCTATTGAAGTTCCGGGCTGCTATAACAAAGTACCAAGAACTGGGTGGCTTCAAACAACATAAATCTATTCTTTTATCATTTTGGAGGCTAAAAGAGTGAAATCAAAGTACTGGTAGGGCACTGCTCCCCCGAAGGCTCTAGAGGAGAATTCTCTCTTGCCTTTTCCTAAGTTCTGGAGATTACAGAAATTCGTGGCATTTTTGTGCTTGTAAATTTATCGTCCCAATCTGTGCCTATGTCTCCACTTGACTTTCTCCCACCCTATATCTTTGTGTCCAAATGGCCTTCTCTTATCAAGACACCAGTCATTGCCTTGGTGCTCACCTTAATCCAGCATGCCTTCATCTTAAATTTATCATATTTAAAAAGAACCTGTTTCCAAATAAGAATGTGAATGTGAATGTTGAGGGGTCACAATTCCATCTGGCATAGCCTTAACAAGGGTAAAGGGCATCGCCAGTGATGGATGGGCTTTGGCGAAGCCTGACATAGACCATATTCATCACTTGTGTGATATCACTGCTTAATAGAGGCCACCACAAATAGAGAGAGCAGAATGAGCAAACTTTTCTCAGCCTTCTTCTGTGTCTTACATAGCTGCAAGACCTCTGGTGCTAAGGAAAAGATGTCCCAGGGCTCTGCGTGAACCTACATGGAATAGGAGAGGAGAGTGAGAGGGCTGATCAAAGCTACTCATTTCTCTTAAATAGTGGATAGGAAGATTTTGAATTATATATGGTATTAAAGGTATAAACTAGGCTGTGCTAAATGTTAATCATTGACAACGGCTGAAAAATTATGGAATCTCCCCAAATGTCATGAAGAGACAAAAAATGAGATTCAACATAGTAATGTAGCAGGGAGTTTCTAGAAAATAAAATTCACACCAATACCTATTGATCATCTGATTATGGGCATTTGTGGGATGTCTAACAAGATGTCATAATGCAAGTGTCACTGAGGCATTAACAGAATTTACAAGTACAAAGGCAGAACCTCAACAAGGTGATCTATTCCAATGACACTGTCAGGCAAGACCGCACCTAAATGTAGTCACAGAAAGAATTTCACACAGAATGAAAATAAGAAAAGTTCTTGTGTTCTGGAAGGCAAAGCAAGCCCCAGAGGACTTGCATTACACTGACCTCCTTCTCTAGATTTGCCTTTTTCTTGTCTTTTTACCAACTGCACAGGATTTAAGTTTTACACAATAATCTCTTTTCCTCCTCAA